TTGAAGTTCTTCTAAAAAAACTCCCTCAAACGGGCGCTCGATGTTGATTTTGCATTGTTGCACGAGCTGTTTTGCCTGCACAGAATCACTTGCCGCCGAACAGACACACTAATTGGACCAAGCCACTTTTCATTCAGCAATGAAAAACTTGCGTTTTGGAATTTTTCCATTTTTCGACAAAATGGTCCCAAACAAAAATTTTTCGGCAGCACCTGGTGAGCAAAAATATAGTTGTCAACAAGTGGTAGTTTCGGCCTTACAGATCGTTAGCCAAGGTAAAGCACCCTTTGATTTTCATTTGGTTTGTTGGCATGAGTTGGAACCCTTTACAGGGGCTGGAAAAAACGGCGGTTTTTAATCTTGAACATTGTATCCGAGTAGTATGCGTGTCTGGAATTTCAATAGTTGGCTCTTCATATGTAGGGTCAAGAAAAAACGTCCGTTTCTGAAATCGGGCCGTATTTCCACATCAAAGTTTGCCACGTGCTAGATCTTGACGATACTTGCATGTAGACCATCAACGCCACTGATGTTCTGTTCCCACCACTGGTGCGTCGTTGTGCACCGGGCGATGCCGATTTCAAACACTCTCAGAAAGCAAACCATGGAAATTTGCTGCCATTCGAGGCAGTGCCGTTGTAGAGGGTTTTTTGAACAATGACTTCAAAAACTTGATGTGACGTAAATGCTTTAATTTATACCATCGTGTTGGCCGTGCGATGCGCGTCGAATGATATCTAGTAAAACATTGTGCGTTGCTGGAAATGTATAGGCAGTCTTGATGGCCGCAATTTCCATGGTTTTGTTTCTGAGAGTCGCCTCCGTTTGAAAAGCAGATTGCCGGTGCAGATTATACACAGTGGTGGAAAAAGCATCCATTGGCGTTCTTGACAACATGCAAGTTGATCGCAAATCTGGCCGGGGCCACTTTGATGCGTGATTGAAACGGCCCATTTCAGAAACGGACGTTTTTTCAACCATGTGAGGGCCAATATGAAATCAAGCACGCCTACAAATTGGATGCATGTTCAATTTGGAAAACTGCCGTTTTTCGGGGGTAGTAAAATTTTCCAAACTCATATCTAACGAACCAATGAAATCCAACGGTGATGATTTTAACTTGAAAGCGAGGGTAAGCTGATGTTACCACTTGTTGACAAGCATTATTGCTCACTGGGTGCCGACCGGGACATTGGCGGGGGCCATAATGTCAAAAAAATGAAAATTTCCAAACGCGATTTCTCCAGTTCTGAATGAAAGGCAGGGCCCAATTAGTGTGTTAGTGCAGCGGCAAGTGTTTCTGTGTAGGCAAACAGCTTGTGCAGCATTGCAATGTCAACCATCGAGCGCCGGTTGAGAGTTTTTTGGAAAGAACTTCAAAACTATACGTGTGGTAATGTTTTAGGTTTATACCATCGTGTTCGCCGTGCGATTGCGCGTTGAAAGGACATATAGTAAAGATTGGTGCGTTGCTGGAAACATATAGCATTCTTGATGGCCGCAAATTTCCATGGTTTTGTTTCTGAGAGCCGCTCAGCTTTGAAAGCAGAGTTGCCGGTGCAGACGATGCACAGTGGTGGAACAGGCATTCAGTGGCGTTGTTGTCAACATGCAAGTGATCGCAAATCTGGCACGGCAACTTGATGTGAAACGGCCCCTTTCAGAAAAGGACGTTTTTTCGACCCATATGAGGGCCAATATGAAATCCAGCACGCGTACAAATTGGATGCATGTTCAGATTGAAACAGCCGCTTTCGTCTAGTAAAATGTTCCAAACTCATATCTAACGAAACAATGAAAATCGAAGGGTGCTTTAATATGCAAACGATGTAAACCAATGATACCACTTGTTCACAACATTTTTGCTGACCAGGTGCCGACCGAAAATTTTGGGGGGCCCACTTTGTCGAAAATTAAATTTTCCGAACGCGATTTTTCCCATTTCTGGATGAGAGGTCATGGTCCAATTAGGTGGTAAGTGCAACGGCAAGTGTTTCTGTACAGGAGTTGCAAAATCAACATCGAGGCGCCGTTTGAGAGAGTTTTTTGGAAATGACTTCAAAACTTTACGTGTGTTAATGTTTTTAAAACTATACCATCGTGTTTGCCGTGCCATTGCGCGTCGAATGATATATAGTGAAACATTAGTGCGTTGCTCGAAACATACAGCATTCTTGATGGCCGCACTTTTCCAAGGTTTTGTTTCTGAGAGGCGCTCCGTTTGAAAGCAGATTGCCGGTGCAGACGATACACAGTGGTGGAGCAAACATTCAGTGGCGTTGGTATCAGCATGCAAGTGATCGCAAGGCTGTCCGCGGCCACTTAAATGCAAAGAACGGCCCATTTCAGAAACGGACGTTTTTTCGACCTATATGAGGGCCAATATGAAATCCAGCACGCGTGCAAATTGGATACATGTTCAGATTGAAAACAGCCGTTTTTTGGCTAGTAAAATGTTCCAAACTAATATCTAACCGAATCAATGAGAATCGAAGGGTTCTTTAACTTGCAAACGATGTAAGCCGATGGTACCACTTGTTGATAATGTTTTTTCTCACCGGGTACCGACCGAAAACTTTGGGGGGGGGGGGGCATTTTTGTCGAAAAGAATGAAAAGTATCCTTACGCGATTTTTCATTTCTGAACGAAGGGTCATGGTCCAATTAGTGTGGAAGTGCAGCGGCAAGTGTTTTTGTGCAGAGAAACAGCTTGTGCAACGTTTGCAAAATGAACATCGAGCGACGTGCGGAAGAGTTTTTTAGAATTAACTTCAAAGCTATACGTGCGTTAATTGTTTCAAGTTATACCATCGTGTTCGCCGCGCGATTGCGCGTTGAATGATATATAGTAAAACACTAGTGCGTTCCTGGAACATATAGCATTCTTGATGGCCGCAAACTTCCATGATTTTGTTTCTTTGAGCCCCTCCATTTGAAAGCAGATTGCCGGTGCAGAAGATACACAGTGGTGGGACCAAGCATTCAGTGGCGTTGTTGTCAACATACGAGTAATCGCAAGACTGGCAGTGGCCACTGTGATGCGAGAAACGGCCCATTTTGGAAACGGACGTTTTTTCGACCCATATGAGGGCCAGTATGAAGTCCACCACGTGTGCCAATTGGATGAATGTTCAGATTCAAAACAGCCGTTTTTCGGCGTGTAAAATGTTCCAAACTCATTTCAAACGAACCAATGAACAACGAAGGGTGCTGTAGCTTGCAAACGATGTATGCCGATGTTGCCACTTGCTGACAACATTTTTGCTCACCGGGTGCCGAAGAAAATTTTTTGGGCAGGCCATTTTGTCCAAGAAAGGAAAATTTTCCAAACGCTATCTTGTTCATTTCTGAACGAAAGGGAATGGTCCAAATAGTGTGTATATTCAGCGGCAAGTGTTTCTGTGCAGGAAAACAGGTTGTGCAGCAATTGCAAAATCAACATCCAGCGCCGTTGGAGACAGACTTTTTTGGAAATAACTTCAAAACTATACGTGCGTTAAGGTTGTAAGTTATATCATCGTGTTCGACGTGCGATGATTGCGCGTCGAATGATATAAAGTAAAACATTAGTGCGCTGTTGGAAACATACAGCATTCTTGATGGCACCAAATTTCCAAGGTTTTGTTTCTGAGAGCCGCTCCGTTTGAAAGCAGATTGGCGGTGCAGACGATACACAGTGGTGGAAGTGGTGGTGGAAGCACTCAGTGGCGTTGTTGTCAACATGCAAGTGATCGCAAATCTGGCAGTGGCCACTTTGATGCGAACAAGGCCGATTTCAGAAACGGACGTTTTTTTCGCCCCCAGGGGTGGGCCAATGTGAAATCCAGCACGTGTACTAATTGGATGAATGTTCAGATTCCAAAACAGCCCTTTTTCGGCTAATACAATGTTCCAAACTCATATCTAACGAACCAATCAAAATCGCAGTGAGCTTTAACTTGCAAACAATGTATGCCGATGTTACCACTTGCTGACAACATTTTTGCTCACCAGGAACACACCACAAAAATTTGGGGGGGCCATTTTGTCGGAAAAAATCAAAAGTTCCCATTCGCGATTTTTCATTTCTGAATAAAAGCGCATCGTCTAATTAGTGCGTAAGTGCAGCGGCAAGTGTTTCTGTGCAGGCAAACAGCTTGTGCATCAATTGCAAAATCAACATCGAGCGCTGGTTGAGAATTTTTTTAGAAATAACTTCCAAAATAAGCGTGCGTTAAGGTTTGAAGTTACACCATCGTGTTTGCCGTGCGATTGCGCGTCGGATGATATATAGAAAAACAGTAGTGTGTTGCTGGAAACATGGAATTCTTGATGGCCGCAAATTTCTATGGATTTGTATCTGAGAGCCTCTCCGTTTGAAGGCAGATTTCCGGTGCAGATGATACACAGTGGTGGAGCAAGCGTTCAGTGGCGTTGTTGTCCACATGCAAGTGATCGCAAATCTGGCCGCGGCCACGTTAATGTGAACAACGGCCCATTTCAGAAACGGACGATTTTCAACTCACATGAGGGCCAATATGAAATCCAGCACGCGTAAAAACTGGATGCATGTTCAGAATGAAAACAGTCGTTTTTTGCTACTGAAATGTTCCAAACTCATATCTAACGAACTAATGAAAATCGAAGGGTGCTTTAACTTGCAAACGATGTAAGCCGATGTTACGACTTGTTGACAACATTTTTGTTGACTGGGTGCCGACCGAAATCGTTGCGGGACCCATTTTGTCGACAAAAATGAAAATTTTTGAAACGTGTCTTTTTTATTTCTGAATAAAAGGGTAGGGTCCAATTAGTATGTAAGTGCAGCGGCAAGTGGTCCTGTGCAGGCAAACAGCTTGTGCAGCAAAAAAAAATATCAACATCAGGCGCCCTTTTGGAGAGTTTTTTGAAAATAACTTCAAAACCATACGTGCGTTAATGTTTTAATTTATACCATCGTGTTGGCCGTGCAATTGTGCGTCAAATGATATATAGTAAAACATTAGTGTGTTGTTGGAAACATACAGCATTCTTGATGGCCGCAGTTTCCAAGGTAATGTTTCTGTGAGCCGCTCCGTTTGAAAGCAGATTGCCCGTACAGAAGATACACAGTTGTGGAACAAGTGAGCTCACAGTGTTGCTCACTGTTGAATGCTTGTGGAATACTGCATGTGAAGTGATTGGCCAAGGCGTGCTCATGTATATTTATGTTGGACCTGAGGGTCTTGTTATTTTTTAATACATGAATATTGAGATCATTGTCTGATTGGCATTTGAATATTCCACATAAGCATTGACAGCCCTTCTCCACAGTGGCCTTACCACCCATGAAAGGGGCCAACCAGTAATTATGTCAGTTCAGCACAGCTGTGTCATTGCATTAAATGTGTTTATTAAGACGTGAAAGGCACTACAATGTAATGGAAATGCTTGGTATGATGCAATGTTGTGCATGTACCTGACGACATTTCACCAAAGGTGTTATCTGCATGCACTGTTTAGAAAAGGTCATCTGATGTCAGAAATGGGCCAAATTTTCTGGCATAATTCAAGTTAAGTGAAGTTATAAGTTATGTTTTTTTCCAGATCAGAAGAATCAATGTGTGTGGCACACTGGTGGGCTGTGCTGAGGGCATCCCTACCTCACCTCCACCTAATGTGTGTTTTTCATTGTGTCTGGACATGTCATTTTGATTGAAGGCTATTTAAAGTTGTAGCTTTGTGTCTTTCCTTCAAAAGTCCAGCCAATGTTGTCAAATAATGCTCAAAGCAAGCCATCATGATGTGAATCACTTGCATTAGTTTATTTTGTAATATTCTAGCAACAATATGAGAAGGGCAGGCCAACATTTGCTAGTGCATTTCAACATTGTTAGGAGAGGCCACCATCACAAAGTACAATGGCTTCATGCAACTGCATGCAGCATAAACGTGGCATTAAACGATAACCTGTGCTTGGTAAATGTATCCAATGTAAGCAGAAAATGTTGTAGTTAATGTATTTAATGGGTGCAATGGTTTGTGTTTTACTGGAAATGTACAGTTAGTCAGCAAGATAAATAATCTTTATGATGTATGCTAAGTCTTATGCAGAAATGATTAGTTCGCATAGGATACAGGGCTATCAAGTTAATTTCAACATTACAGGATGTCTGTGTATGCAAGGGAAGTTTTCAGATTTGTGACATTTATAAAACTGATGTTTTGTGTCAAATAGTACAATATTCTGAATGCTAGTTGTAACCCTTTCTGCAACACTGTATCTGTTACACAACATCATTGCATAATTTATATCAATGTAATTTCCTTGTAACAATGTGAGCAAATGTTGAGTACAAGGTGGTACATTTTTTATTATATCAATATAACATGTTACATGTAGATGAAAATGTGCATAATTGGGGTATGGTTTGGGGCAATCTAAGGTCCATTGATAGTGTTTATTGCCTTGAGCAAATGTGGCATATGTTTCAGATACTGATGCACCTTCTAAATCTGTCTAAGCTGCCCATCTCACTTCAGCTGCTTAGGTGTACCTTTCCTACTCTGAGATCAATGGGTGAAAATTAAAGTTCTAAATTACAAGGCTTGATGAGGAATATAAAAAAGTTATGTCTTATCAAAGTTTCAAATATTTATTTTGCAGGTTTTGTGATGTGAAAGCAAGATTTTTCAGGTTCATTTATTCAGTGGAGCCAGTGATAAAATGTTTGTATTCACCTTATGCCAAAAACCTTCATGGAAATGGTTTTAGGGAGCATGGTTACTTAGGCCACAGGTCTGTCAGGTGTTTAAGCCCTTCAAGATCAATCAAAGAAGTTTTATAAATTTTGTCATATCAGGGCCTTTGTGCAGTACAGCTCACCATTATCACACTTATCATTATATTCCTTATCATCCCGCTTTTAAGCACAACTGCTTCCCAATCAGCGGTGCTCGCAGTGTTACTATGCTATCGTTGCTGCGCTGGTCCTGAGGTGGCATTGCCGGCCCTTCACAGCAGTGGCCGCCAGCATCACAACTTAAGAACCTAACACAGTGCCTGGTCCTACCTCTGGGCGCGTTGGACGGTCAGCTTTGGACCGCTACCGTCGCGATAGGTTCCATGCCTCAGGCACAATAATGCTATGCGCCCCAGCCATAGGCTGTTGCATGTAGCCCGACAGCTGCATAACACCTGTCAGGTATGTTTGATAGACATAAAAAGATCTCACGTATATTTCTTGTAGTAGCTCGCAGCACATTTCACAGCACAGCAGATGCATGTTCAGGCTATATGTAATGCATATATATGCATACTATATATATATGGTCAGAATATTGTTGCACTCAATAGTTCTATCGCAAGTCAGTGGCCGCATTTACTCCATGTTCTATCTCAACTCTGCTGAAAAGAGTTGGCGGCAGCGGGGTTCGATCCCACACCTGGACATCGTGGCGCGTGCATGGGTCTGCGCTTTGCCTGATAGCTCGAAAATGAGCGCCACGGCGCACACTTTTAATCTCGGAAATCGAAAGAGAATTGTTCAAGCTTCATTTCTGAGCACTTTTTATGCATATATATCTTCAAAATTTAGAAAGCCATGGGCCTGAAGAAGGTCATTTTAACATGGAAACCCTATGGCTGGTCGTGAAATGTGCACCATTGCTGCCGTATTTTATACTAGACTTTGGACCACCCGTGCCTAAGGAGGTGTTGTATTGCCCTGCGTAAGGATGTCAGGATGTGAAGGGGGGGGGGGGGGCGTGAGGAGTCTGGCATCCAGGTTAAGTGCTCTTTATTTCATCATACAGATACATAGAGCATACGGTTTGATAGTGCTACAAGGTTCACAAATCTCTTGTTCATCTGTGGTCTGCGGGCCGTAGCATTGTATAGGTTTCTTTCCAGATTCAGCTAAGTGGCAGGTTAGGAAGTGTGAGGCCTATGTGGGTATGCTTAACATGGGACAAGTCATATAAGTGGGGATTCAATCAAGAATGTCTGTTTTGGTCGACAGTTTCCAGACTGTTTTCAGATGCCGAGTGAAATAGCTACTGAGGTGAAAGCATTCAGAACCAGGTTTTTTGTCTTTTGCTATGCAGGATGGAAATGGACTTCATCAAAGGTCAGCTGGGTTTTGCATACATGCTTCCAATGCATGGTGCACATGGAAGTGGTTGCATCAATGAAGGGCAAGGATACAGCACTGATCAGGGGGAGATATTTGTGAAGTCCTCTCAAGATCACAGTGATGTGAGTTGGTTGTTTGGCTGATGTATGCATTCTGTGATGTGACCCACAACCACATGTTCTAGCATTTCATTGTTCTCCACCAATGGTGATGTATTCTTTGTATAAGCATTGTTGTATGTTGCCAACCACACTTAATTCCAGTAAGCCACAGACTGAGCTTTTCGGAAGTGGTATGAATATCCTCCTACTCTGAATGGTTGGATTGTAGCCATTTGATTGGTCCAGCAAGCAAACATGTGACCAGTGTGTCCAGCAGGTGCTTGTCTGATTTGTTTATATAGTGCTAGGCACCTGGGTGGTTGGTCCAGACCAGTGGCATCTGATTAGTATGTATTGTTTTACTGCAAGCATGTATTTGAACCATGGAGCCTTGTTTTGCTGCAACCAGTGTATGCAGTGGCAGTCACCTGACCTATCAGCATATGAGGTTGTAGACATCTGACCTGTCAGTGTGTACAGTTGCAGACATCTGACCTGTCAGTGTGTGCAGTGACAGACACCTGACCTATCTGTGTGTGTGATGTGGTGGCAGACGTCTGACCTGCCTGTGTGTGTGGTGGCAGACATCTGAGCTGTGGGTGTGTGCAGCACAGCAGCAGACATCTGACATGTCTGGGCATGTGGCAGCAGACATCTAGACCTGTCTGTGCAGTTTGGTGGCAGACATTGAGCTGTCGGCATGTGCAGGCAGCAGATATCTGAATGTGTGTGCAGCAGCAGACATCTGACATGTGTGTGCAGCAGCAGACATCTGACATGTGTGTGCAGTGGCAGACATCTTACCTGCTTGTGTGTGCAGGGGCAGACATCTGAGCTGGTCCGTGTGTGCAGGGGCAGACATCTGAGCTGTCTGTTGTGTGCAGGGGCAGACATCTGACCTGTCTGTGTGCAGCAGCAGGCATCTGACCTGTCTGTGTGTGCAGTGGCGACATCTGACCTGCCTGTGTGTGCGGTGGCAGACATCTGAGGCTGGTCCGTGTGTGCAGGGGCAGACATCTGAGCTGTCTGTGTGCAGCAGCAGACATCTGAGCTGTCTGTGTGTGCAGTGGCAGACATCTGACCTGTCTGTGTGTGCGGTGGCAGGCATCTGATCTGTTTGTGTGCAGCAGCAGACGTCTGAGCTGTCTGTGTGTGCAGGGGCAGACGTCTGACCTGTCTGTGTGTGCAGTGGCAGACATCTGACCTGTCTGTATGTGCGGCGGCAGACATCTGAGTAATCTGTGTGTGCGGCGGCAGACATCTGAGCTGTCTGTGCGTGTGGTGGCAGACATCTGAGCTGTCTGTGTGAGCGTTGGCAGACATCTGACCTGTCTGTGTGTGCGGCGGCAGGGACAGGAGATGTTTGCCGGGGAGCTTGCCGGGCTGCGGGCTATCATTGCCACCAGCACTGTGCGGTGTCCACGGCCTCTGACCGTAGCTCAGCACCCGGACACGGGCCGGGCCGTGCTCGTCATGGAGTTCCTGCAAATGCGCTCGCTAAGGGCCCGGTCGGCTCAGCTGGGGCGCCAGCTCGCCAGGTGCGTACAGACTGGTTGGTTCACGTAGGGACGTGTCATGCAATGGGGGGGGGGGGGGGGGAGGGGGACAGCTGAACCACATTCCCTCTTGTTTTTTTGCAGCATTGATCCTCCACCCTAGCAGCAGGGGTCGATGCGAGCACTCCCCACATATGGTTTTCTGAATTTCTGTTTCGGCATGTCGCGCAATCGCGCCCAAATGTTTATTAGCTTATGGGCATCCATTGCGCCTGTTTTGAAGCTCAGGACGCGTCCCTGGCTTGTTTGGTTTCGGAGCAGTGGCGATTCACGCGCCGGCGCGATCCGCGGCCCGTGTGGGGCGGCGGGTGGCAACCAACGATGTCGCCGGGATGAGCGCATCGGACAGCCCTTGCTACATTGGCGGAGCCATACATAGAAATACGCGGTCAACATATAGAGAAGCATGCAGCGATGCACTCAGATTTAAGGCAATATGCCTGGTAAGGTTTGGTGCCCTCACAAGGCATGGTCTGCTACATATTAAACGTGTCAATCCGGAAAAGGCTGTTTTGGGGAAATTTTGACTTTTGACTCAATGTAATGGGATCAGTTATTGACCCAGACACAATGCTTATCATCAGTCGCGAAATCTAGTTGAGACCAACACACTAATGTTTTTTGGTAATATCAATTCATTTCACTTTGGAAACGGTAGGGGTCCCGCACCAACCCCACCATCAGTGCGCTATAATAAATAGCAGCCCACCAGTGCAAGGGTTAATATCGCTGTAAATAAATGTGTGCACTAATCTAATTTGTCAGACATTTGAAATAGGTGGATTGACAACGTGCGTGCGTGATGGAAGAAATTTCTCGGGTTTCCGTCGCGTTAGAGAATGATGTTCGGCGAGTTCTTGAGTTGTGACCCCTTACATTGCAGCGCTGTGAACATGCCTCTGAGCTCATGTGTCAGGGAATGGACGCAGGCATCCTGATCATCGCTGTGATCACTTATGGTCAAGAGGGCTGAATCCAGTCTTAAAGCAAAGCTTTGCCGCTCGGCTAATGTCGGAAACATGGATGCATGTGTTGCCCAATTGCTAGTACCAACTGCTAGTTACCTAACATGTCCTGGCTGCTGACTGTAGGGATGTGTTGGCTCCTTTGGGACTGTCGCATGGAAGTGACCATCTTGATTTAACCAGAACCCGCGATTGTACCTTACCAGTGTGACACTTGTACTGCACCATCCCATTTGTGCAGAGATTGTTGGTTATCTCATCACCCAAGTCAACATTGCCCAATATTGTTTTCAGGCTTCATCTACATAACAGTACTGCAAAGGATGCGCAAAGCACAGAAGCCTCACACGTAGGTGCGCCCGAAAAGCAGGTACATAGACGGACCTACGAATGGTAACCAGTGTGCATGGGCCTGAAAACATGTCCAGTAACCAGTGTCGTGTCAGAGTGATAGTTAAAGTGCCATGCTTAAAAATAAGTAAGGAAAATAAGGCTTAAATAAGGTCCTATCCAACCATGGGTTATGACGGTGCCCAGGTTGAGCTTGATTGTTTTGTTAAGAACTTTATGCTCGGTCGGAAAACCACATATGGCATGACATCTTAACCAAAAAACGCGTGATAACGATGAGAAGCTGGAATGACTAGTTTGCGATTGTCAGCGTCTTGTTCACAAGAAGCTGACCCATTATCGCAGTTAAATTGTGTAGTATAAGTCTTTCTATAATTCAGTCACTCCGTGAAAATCATGCGTCCAGCCACTGTTACCCAAACTTCGCCGTTGTGAACGGAAGCAGACGGGGGGGCTGCGTCTCTCCCAGATGGACTCGGCGGTTCAGCAGTTCGGCTTCCACGTTCCTACGTGCTGCGGTCGCATCCCGCAGGCCACACCGTGGCACGGACGACTGGCTGGAGTTCCTGACGCGGGTCAAGCTGCAGCCGCAGGTCCGGAAGCGCGGCCTGAACGCAGCTATGAGCACGCCGCCTAAATCCGCCGCGTCTGGTGGCTGGCGAGACGCACCCCGCCGACAGCTGGACGTCCAGCGGCAGATAATGCGAAACGACGGGTGCGCACCACGTTTTAGAAGGCTGTTTCATCAAAATGGACGTACTGTTAAACGTGAATTGCGTTGGATTCTGCTTTTCTCTATTAAGATCACTTATTGGCAGCATTCATCGTTGTCGTTGAGGGGAGGCGACTCAATATCTTGTCGAGACAGCACGATACAAAGATGGTACAAATTGTTTCGACAAAATCCTATCACTGAATTGCAAACACTTCGTAATTTTGTCACCTCAAGTACCAACCTATAAGGCCGAGGGAGTGCTGTTATATAAGTTTGATATTCCATGCAGCTGCTCTGAACAACCTCGTGCCGTGTCTATTGATTGTGCAATGTGTTTAGATCGAGATGATTGAGCGGGATTACGGCGATCGGGAGGTTATGGAGTTTGTGGTCGCGACTGCTGCGCCGCCTACCGGAGTTCTTCCGAAACATCAGTGTGGAGCCGGCGCTGCTGCATGGTGACCTGTGGTCTGGAAACGCGGCTGAGGGTGGACCAGGAGCCAGGTAAACAGAGCTGAAGCCCGCCGAGGGGACGTGTGATGACCCAGCAGAATAAGCCAGTGCTAAAGGCAATGCCGGCTGCCCAAGGCAAACTGGAATGGGAAGGTCGAACTGGGACCACAGTAGACTCCTTGGACGATGACTGCATTGACAAGGTGGCAACTGTGTGAATAATTACGAAAGATCTTACTTACCTATTGTTCTACATCATTTGCCGTAAATGTTGTGTTGTTTCCGTTGTTAGCGCCGCTACTCTGCTCCCGTTGGGATGGCGGCGCCCCAAACATAGGTTCGGGTGACGTCCGTGGCGGCGGTCAGATGAGTGGCACGCCCAAATCACCCATGCGTGGACGTGCCTTGTTTTAGTTGAGCTCGTGTTCGTATGTATTTTGTTTCAGAAAATAGATTTGGTTTGTGAAGGGGACTAGCTTAAACATGACAACTTCCCCCAGGGATTGGTTTCTTTTTCTTCCAATGAGTACCTATTTTTGCATTTAATGGGTTCTTCGAGAGATCAGTACACCATTTGCATTTGTCTCCCATGACATGTGGCAGCACTAATTGTAGGCAATGTGACGACGCCGTCTTTTAATGAAAACGAAAGCCGTAAAGTGGCAATAGTTCTCTGCTGTGTCTATTGAGTTGGTTTTTGTGAAGAACTGATTTTAGCTGGAATATAAGGGAATGAGTACAAAAGCTTGCTGGGGCTTGACTTATCGTTGTGCAGCGGAAGTGCTGATTAGTTTGGGCCTCAGGTGACATTTTGTTGCTTCTGCCCTCTGTCACTGTCACTGGTGTCACCAGTCTCCAGTGTAGAGCTGCCGACCAAATTCCACGCAGTTCGCGATGCGGTGCCTGGCGCGTGTCTCCGTCCTCGAACAGGGGCGTGTGCAGTCTATGGTGCGCGATGCAGCGTTCCTGCAGCGCTGCCTAGCGCCGCGTTCAGTGACGCGTACCCCGACAGTGGTGTACGATCCCGCCTCCTTCTATGGACACGCCGAGTTCGATCTCGGAATCGCGAAGTGGTTCGGGGGATTTGGAGCCGACTTCTACAGAGCCTACCACGAGCTGCTGCCAAGAAAGGCTGGCTTCGAGACCAGGAACAAGCTGTACCAGCTCTTCCACCACCTAAACCACTGGTGAGCCACATGACCGTTCAGAAAGTTGATTGTCCTCTGTCCATGTGACGAATCAGCTCATGTTTATGTTCATTGGCAACTACTTGTCCACCCGACTTGGATAATGCATGAATTGAATGATACAAACAGAAATACAGTAAACTGCGCACAATGATGCAGTAAACAACAATGAACGGATGCGATGCTTGAAAAAGGAAGCATACTGTAATTGCGACATATGTCTGTCAGCTGGCAAGGACGTGTGCATTCCTCAAACAAGCCGTCTTTTATGTAATGTTATAAACAGCTTCCGATTTATCGGTAGACGGCACTTACCGCCTGCTGCTCCCTTGATTCGCTCATTTCAGCTTTGTTTTGTTCGTATGTTTGCCGCTGTATCACCGGAGGGCGTCACTGCAGTAGAACCGCATGTACATGAAAAGCTCCAGTCTAACACGAAAGGGCATACACACGCCCTGCAGGCATTCGTGAATTATTCCCGGGCGACGCCACGGTGGGCATCATGGTATGGGATTTCGGAACGCTTCTGGAGCACAATTCGCCACTTTAGGACCCAATTTCACGTCGTTCAGAACTTCGGTCGGAAAATATCAGGATGTCTTACATCAATCGTTCACGCAAACACGCACGCACGCACGCATGCACGCGCTCACGCACGTACGCACGCGCTCGCACGCACGCACGCACACACGCACGCACGCACGCACACGCACGCACGCATAAATAAGTAAATAAATGTGGTTGGCAATTTGTGACTTTGCGGGAACCAGGTCAACGAAATACTCGTCATCCTCGATAGCGATCAGGTATCCTGCTGGGTGGTGCAGTGTTTTGAGTCTTGGTCTGAGTCTTGAGACCGCTGACGGCTGCTGTAGTACTTTGGGGCTGTGGCACATGGCTGAGCGTCAAACACTCTCAGGTTGTTCTCATGACTTACCAACACCTTATGACAGCTGGACTAATTCGCTGAAGCGTTATGAGAACAATAGCATGATTGATGAGGACAATGGTCTAAAAATTGTTTCAACTTTTTCAGGAATCACTTCGGGTCCAGCTACCGCGGCGGTTCAGTGTCGCTGATGAGGTCCCTGGTGGAACAGAAGTGACCGGACCGCGTCATGCTGGCCTCTGACGCAGCTGACGCCACTGCCCGGTTATCAGCTGACGTCACTGCCCAACCATCGGCCGACGTCACTTCCCGGCCATCAGCTGATGTAACTACCCTGCCACCAGTTAACGTCAATACCCGGTCATCAGCTGACGTCACTGCTGAGTCATCAGCTGACGTCACCATTGAATCATCAACTGATGTCACTGCCTGGCCATCAGCTGATGTCACTGCTTGGTCATCAACTGACGTTACGGACCGTGCCCGCGACCGGGGTGATTAAGCAATGGACCAGGAGTTCCTCTGTCATCTGTGCTAATACTGGCTGTGTTTAGCAGCGCCTCTGCCGGGTTGGGCTGTTCCTGTTTCACTCTGCAGCTTGCTATGACGGTCAGCGGAGGCCTTGTGCGTAATGATCGGATCGCATTGTTGTGTGTTACCTGCGTGCGCATTGTAAGCACATGCATGTGATGGCTCAGTGAGCGTGCCCGACCGGCAGGGCTGGCGGAGAATGCCACGATGCCAGCTGCTTCCCAGACGTGCGGTGGTTCTGAGCCGGACACGGAGCTCAGAGTCCATGCCCCTAGTCCAGAGTGCGCACCCTTAGTCCAGAGCCTGTGCTTGGGTCTAGAGTCCAGGCCCTGAGTCCAGGTGCGACCGAGTCGGGTTGGACGTGCTGTGGGCCTGGCTAAGCGGCCTTTTAGTCAGGCGCGGTGTGCATGTTGCCGGCCGGGCCAGGCGGACCTGCCTTGAGTGTCTGGACCGGTCCCGTCGTCGGTGTCGGTGCTCCCGGTGCGGGCCGTCCCGGAGTGGGCACGTCGTCCTGACTCCTGCGTCATGTCCGCGGCGGGGACAAGCGTCGAGCTTACACCGACCTGGTACACCATGTGGCCGGCTTCAGCGGGCAGGTCGATACGTGGTGGAGCAGGTGTGTTCAAGAAGTCTCGGGACATACGTTCTCGGCGTTTAGGGTAACCCAGAGTGTCACGATTTAAAGGACAACAGTCTGGCGTCAGTGGGTGCAAACTGCAGTTCGCTGTGTCATGGTAGAAGGTGTGATGCAATGCTTAGTCCATGTATATGGATGTGCATACTTGTGGAGTAGAAGCTGGTCATAACTCCCAATAAAATAACCACTTTTGTTGAATTTCTCATCTTACTTTAGCATGCTTCACTCGTGTCGTAAATGCACACCATCTGGCCCCGGGCGCCGTGCAGCAGCGTGCCAGCGTACGCAGTGGGCCTGGCAATACGGGCGTTCAGTCAGCGCGGTGTGAAGGTCGGTGACTGGGCCAGGCGGGGCGACGCGACTGTTACACCGAACTGGAGCATGTCGTTAATTACAAGTAATATGCTTCTATTGCCATTGTCAGCACTAACCACATGCCGTGTTGGTGTGTGCATTAATTAGCTACGTCATGACGGCAAGAGCTTTAAGTCAGGCGTGGGGTCGGAATGGCGATCCGTGGGTGTCATCGCAGTCCACTTTCCGAGAATGCCGAGCGTAGTCCTATGGCGAAACATAAAGAAGATATACTCCAAGAATTGGTTTTGCCATCCGCGCGTACTGGGACGGTCCTCGCCTGTCTGAAACAACAAAATGAAGGTGTTTTTCTTGCTGGTTGTGCACCGTTCATTGGACCACCACAGTGCCAAATGATCCCCGAGACCCGGCAATGTTGCCTCCACCCTCGAAGGGCGCAACCGAAGGGATGGGTCCCGCCGAGGTTCCTGGGATCTCCTTTTCAGATGCCATACTTAGACTGTTGGACTCTGGATCGGGTGACAGCGCGAAAAAAAATATAAGAAATTGTTTGGCTGCGCGCCCGCTTATACTGCTGGCAGCACTGCTCGAGCGACTCGAATCTTATTTTCGATGGTATGAACATGGAGCCATCCCTGCGCCTTACCGCATCGGCCTGACACTCTCCGTGATAAAAGTCGTTCATAGAGAAGTGCACGTTTTTGCTCCAATCTCAAACGAAAACATTCCTTCTAGACGAGCAATTAGACTCCTGTAATTCCAACATCTTGGTTGGTGCTAGCTTTTGCGTTTATTGCCGAGGGATTACACACGTGCGAACTGCCCTTGTTAATGCCTCATCTTGCAGTGTGCAGGAACGTAATGCTCGAAATGACCTCTAGCCATCATTTTTCGCAACAAGTATAATCCTGGGACAACTGCAAGCCCTTGTGATGCAGACGAAGCGAGAATTTAGAGTCCAAGGTGAAACTTTTCCATCATATTTTTGTACCGTGAATCGTTCAATTGCCCAGCTTTTTCACACAGCTGCGCGCCGATATATTAATTCGGCGCGTTTTCTAGAAATGAAAAGCATTAAGACTTCGATGTACTAGTTATATTAGAGGGATTCTACTCCTGTACTGGCAACACTCACTTATGGCCGTCAGCCTGTTGTAGATCCAGAGGGGGGGGGGGGGGGGGTGTTGACAGGGGAGCTATACGGTCCCGCTTGAGACCCGAAGGGGCCACAAACTTGAAGACGAGTTTTTATGTTGTCATGAGTGAATGACAATATACGGCCAACCAAGCCCGACCATAAGTGAAGATGAGAGGGTCCACAGGGACATGAAGGGGCTCTTGTCTGATGTGCATGACGCAAACACGAAAACAGCTATTGTCTTGCCATGTGACGGTAGTGGTTGAAGATGTTTTAGGGGCCAGTACGCTGACTAGGGGCCCTTAACTGGCTAGGGGACCTATGTGTTGACTTGACAGGGCACTCGCGAGCGCTAAAGGACCTCCCGCGTGGCTCTTGGTTCTTCGCATTTGCTTGAAGACCACCAGGCTGTTGTTGGACCTAAGCAGTCGTTGAACTGGTGGGCATTGGATCGCTCTTAGGCCACCACGGCTTGGACTCATTTGCTCAA